CCCCCCCCCCCCCCAGCCCCTGGAAGAACCAGGAGGAGGGCAGGGCATTGCTTGGAGACATAGTAATCAGGCGCCCGGAGGACTTGGCGGGTTGTCCACGTAATTTGACTCTCAGGCTATGAGTGCTATTAGCTCCCATTCCAGATCAGGAACCTGAGGCCGTGGGCCACGCAGCCAGTGAATTACAGGATCGTGTCTCAAATCCGGTTATGTAGCTCCAAGTTTAGGGGTTGATCCAGTCTGCCCTCTTCCTTCCTTCCCTTCTGAGGGTGTGTCAGGGCAGAGGGCAGAGGGCCAGGGCGGGGGCTCACAGAAAACATACATTTTCCTTCCCTGAGGGCTTGAGGGGGCTTGCTGCTCACACCGGCAGTTGCTAAGACAACTCCTGGGAAAGGACCCACCATTCCCCAACCTTGTCCACATGCCAGCACCTTACATACATGAGAGAAGCTTCTCAACCCTGAGAAGTTGGGATTATTATGCCCATTTTACAGATGATAAAAATGAGGCTCAAAGCAAGGAAGTGGCTTGCATGGGTCATATGGCTGGAAGACACTGGTCTGGCCTGTCTAATCCCCAAAGTCCCATCACAGCAGTGATGGGACCAGCCCAGCTCAGTGTTTCCTGAGACCCTGTGCCACACCAGCCTGGGGAAGAGAGCTGAGGACATAATGATGAACCAGCTCGGTCCTGGCCATTGAGCTCCCATGGTAGAGAAGGAGAGACACAGAGAGGGGACTGCCCTCTGAACCAGGAGGCACCAAGGATCTACAGGAGCCAGAGTAAGCATTAATTTGAAAGGAAAGCATGGAGGACTTCTGGGAGGAAGAGCTAAATTATTACTAACAAACAGGTGAAAATTAGTCAGACAAGGGGAAAAGGGCAGAGGGGGAAAAGAATAGTTGGCTCTGAGGCCTGGGGAGAGTAGTATTTATGTGAAAGGGAAGCAGGGGCAACAGATAGGATGGCGGGCTCTGGGCTGTGACAATGAGAGTGGGAAAAATAAGACTGATTTGAAAGACTTTTCTAGGCTCTGGCCAGTTTGGCTCAGTGGATAGAGTGTTGGACTGAGGACTGAAAGGTCCCAGATTCAATTCAGGCCAAGGGTACACGCCCAGGTTGTGGCCCCAATCCTCAGTGGGGGACATGCAGGAGTCAGCCAATCAATGATTCTCTCTCATCATTGATGTTTCTCTCTCTCTCTCTCCCTCTTCCTCTCCCTCTCCCTTCCTCTCTGAAATCAATAACGATATATTTTTAAAAAAGGAAGAAACACTGTTCTAAGCTTGCAAAAGCAGTCAAGGCTAGGGAGGGCTTTATTCATTCAACAAATACTTATTGAGCATCTATTAAGTGCCAGGCTCTATGCTAGGACCTGGGGACACTGCTGTCAACCAAGGCCCTCCCCCCGCCCTGCCCCCATCCCCCCCATGTATTTCACATTCCAGTGGGAGAGACTCGCAGGGGCTATGGAAAAAGTGGGGCAATGGAGTAGAGAATGGCTGGGGTAATGTTAGGTAGTGTGGTCTGAGCGGGTGACAACTGAGCTAAGACTGGAAGAGGAGAAGGAGGCAGGCATAACACACATCACAGGAAAGGCGCTTTAGCCACAGGAACCACAAGGGCAAAGGCTCTGGAGCAAGAGCAGGCGTGGTGTGTTCAGGAAACCTGGTCAGTGAGCTGGGGCTTCCTGATCG